TTAAGTGAAAGTAAACAGTGGAGAAAGAAATCGGATGTGTATCATTGTAATGGATGTGTTGTCTCTTAAAGTGACCGAGCATAATTTACTAGCTGCTGTAATGTTAAAGGTGCAATAGGTGATTGTCTTCAGAAACATTTTTTGTTATGCTGGTTGAAAGTCTCTTCACATCCTGATAGCAATCATTAAGTTAAGTGGTCTAAATGTATTTATCTGTATTTATATATTCTGTGGAAGGTGTAGGACCAAGAAATGTCCATCTAATCAAAACGTTAGGTCCGAGCGTTTTAATTAGCTTTCCTACCTGCCTGTCAACGTATGTATTAGCATACCTCTGCGCACCCCGTTCGTGCAGACAGGATATGTCATCAGCGCGTTCACGCACGCTGTGCAGACAGAGCTAGAATGGCAGACAAACATCAACAACCCAATCTTCCTTCCTGGTATAGTAGTAGTTTACGCTTAGATAACACACCCGATTCAGATAACCAGCTCGTTAGAAGTGAGCTACGTGCACGAACTGTGTTCCGATCGATATGATCCCTACACAGTGTTCATTGCTCCCTACTCCCTGAGCAGGAGAAATCCGTTTAAGTTTACTTAACTTCTCATTCACGGATTTGTGCGCAGTATCTGGATGCGAGGGTGCGAGGACTGGAAATGGGAACTGCTGATGTAACCTATTGTAATGTTGTCTCTAGTATTCAAGTATTCAAGGGTAAATCAATAACATTTGTAGCTTTAAGGATTCATCTCTATTTTATTTTGAATTTAGTGTTTGATATCTTTATTCAATTTCTGTACATTTCCTACTTGCTCTGTGACATATTATACCCAAAAATTCTTCATACAGTGGACTACCAGAAAAATTGCCAAAAAATAAATAAATTTGGGACCAAAAATTATTCAGACACGTTGACCTGACCATGTTTTGCTTAAGTTTTTTCTTTAATTGCTAATGCGATCTTTTTACACCAAAGACTGAACAAAATGAAGCAATGCTTGGTAATTGGTCAACAAAGTATTGATAGTTGTGTAAATATTGTCATACTAACAGTTGTCTGAATTTTTGGTTGATTGTAATCCATTACATACCTTTCTATCAAAGTTATCTGACATTATCAAGCTGAATTTGTGCTGACAGTTTAACTATTAAAATTTTCTAAACTATAGCAAATAATGTGAGAAGTGTTGAAGGTGTCTGAATACATTTTGGATTGACTGTATATTTAATTTTTTTACAGTGAAGACTATGCAGTGCTATTTTACATTTGATTATTCGGTTTCTGTACCTGGACACCTACAAACTTGAAAAAACTTAAACATTGTAAATAGCACAAATAAATAAATAGAATGAACATACAAATGAAACTATTTCAAACAGGGCCCACTGGTAAAAACATGCACTGGGGCCCCGCAAACCCCTGCCTGCCATGTTCAAGGTTCAGTTTCTAAATAGATTATTACCGACCTCTAGTGGTTAATCAGGAGCAAAGTGGGCATAAGATTTATTTCTACAAGTATATTTCAGTTCACTTCAGTGTACACTCATGACATTATTCTTGTAGATTTGTCATTTATATTTTAGTTATGCTTTTTTTCCCCATTATTTGCTCAACTGAAACAGGAAACCAGTAATGTGACATCACAGCCAGGCCATGAATCACCAAAACATGCATCACCAAAAATGGACAAAGGTCTACACAACTCGCCTAGAACCGGATCTGCCAGACTGTTGCACTGTAAGTAAATCATAATCCTGAATACCAGAAACAGGCAAAAGGTTATTGTTCTCAGGCTAAGTTCGTTTTATGGTTGACATTTCCTTCTTGCTAACGCCATTGTTTTGGGGCAGAAATAATATTTCCATTATCAATTACCATTGTGTGCACTATTACAGAACAATGGCATTAGTTTGTTGCCTTTTTCTGGATATAACAAAGAATAACAAAGTTTCTTTTTTGTGTTCATTTGATTTTGTCTTATTTTTAGTGCACATGTAGGTGCATTCACGTTTAGGTGCAATAGTGTTATGTCATTTGTATACTATTATTACTTTTCAATATTTTGAATTAGCTTTTATTTTTTAAATGTACATAAATTATACATTTTCTCATTTGTTTTAGTAATTGCATGTTTTGTTTTCATTTTATTATTATTTTTAAACATTTCTGTTTAGCTTAAGTTTATTTTTATATCAGTTTTAGTCTTAATTTTAGTACTTTAAAACTTATTTTAATTAGTTGCAAGGAAACATTTTTTAAAACAAGGTTTTCATCTAATATTTATATTTAATTTATTTCAGTTAACAAATTTGAAAGATTTTTTTAAGTTTTTGGTTAACAACATTATAATACCTTTTATATTAAATTTTTTGCTTTCATAATAAATAGCTTATTTTTATTTTTCTGTTTAATAATGTCATAGGTTACTTTTCAGTAAAACTCCAAAATACTTTTCTTAAAATCTCTTACAAGCTTGTGCATCTGACAAATGACAGTTTTACCCAGTTACCAAGTCACTAAGTTTAAGTTGGCTAATAGACAGTCATCAGAAAGAGGCATTGTAAATCATTCAGTCAAGTGCAAATCTGAAACAATCAGAATTATTTGGCACTGCATGAGAGAATGTTTTGTTCTTGGCTTTTTTTGCAAAAAATGTACTGACTAAGCAGATTGAGCTTCTTTATTGGCTTTTAAAGGAAGGTTTTCAGCGTGTCATGATGTGACTTTCATATGCCATGAAATTGCTTTATAAGCGGTATCAGTTTGTAAATGTTATGTACAAGTATAAAACTGTATGTACACCCCAAAAATTTCAGCACCATGGATAGAGGATTGATTTATATCTTCTTTTTCTACATATTTTGGCGTTTTTATGCATTGTTTTATTTGGATTATTGCAAATTATTACTTATCCCTATTACAAGTTCATTATTTCAAGTTCATGTCAAGTCAAGTCAAATCAACGTTATTAATGTAGCACTTTAAACAATACAGTTTGTGCCAAAGCAGCTATACAATGTTAAACAGGAACATAGTGTGTCGGTAATGCAGGAAGACTATAGTAAACAGTAAAATAGATGTCACCATCCAGCTCAGTTCAGTTCTCTTTAATAGTGTCAAAGGTTACTGTGGCAAGGAACCAAAATTCAAAAACTCATCCGGACAGAAAGTATACAGTAATAAGGAGATTAATATGATTTCCCAGTTGTTCTATGAGAAGCTGTAGAGGTCAGAGGTATACTCTTTAGTTGAGTCTGATATGGAGAGTTTTTTTGAGTGGCCTGAACATACCCAGAATCTCATGCAATCTCAAAGCATGCGTGTGACTGAAGAAGAAGTTAATGTAAATTAACTTATATTACTATATAACGTAAATTACTTATGTAAATAAGCCCAATGGGCTTACTTCAGAGATCTATAAAGAATTTGAAGATCTTCTAGTCCCTCCTTTACTTAGAATGCTGTCTCACTCTTTTGACACAGGCAGCTTGCCATATTCAATGTTGGAGGCTAATTCATTCTAAAAAAAAAAAAAAGCAGAAGAAAGTTTATCCTACTGAACAATGTCTTTATTAAACGTAGACAGGAAGGTGATTGCTAATGTTTTGTCTTAAAGGTCAGAAGCTGTAATTTCTCATATAATCTCTACTGATGATACTTAATAATAGAAAATGAAATTCCTGTAATAATATTCAATGCTTTTTGAATGTTGTATAGCATGGACAAAATGTTCATGTTGGATCACTGGTGGTGCCTCTCGACGCTGAGAAGGCTTTTGACAGGATAGAGTGGTCCTATCTTTTCTGGGTTTAAGGCAAATTTAACCTTGCTAACAATCTTATAAGATGGGTAATGCTGCTCTATGCGTAACCGCAAGCCTCTGTCATGTATTTGCTCCAGCGATCAAGCCCTTGAGTTTTCCAAAAATAGAATTATTCAAATCTTTAATAAATTCGGCAGCTTTTCAATTGACATTTTCAAAGACTTGTGTTAATGGAAGATGGTACATATTTTCTTTGTATTATTGACTGTTCTTAAGGCATTCTTAATGGCATGTCTTAATGGGAATCTCTCTGGACCGTGACCCACTGGTGTGTATTTTAGGGATTCTTTCATATAACACCTGGAGCTCTTCTTAGATCCAGCTGCTCAAAATTGTATTTACTGCCAGACGCTGCATATTGCAGCAGTGGATTTCTGAAAAACCACCAACAAAGACACCGTGGACTAAGAGTGTATTGGACATTATTCCATTTGAAGCCTTGGTTTTTTTTCCTTAAAAACAAGCTATTTCAGTTTTACAAAACTTGGCACCCTTTTCTCTCCCACTTGGGAGACAGTTTGAGTTGGATGTTGAAGAACGGACTGCATGGCATTACATGGACCAAATTGAGGTGAACATATTTCTGGGTGCCTCCACCGGTTGTATTTTTCTTTTTTATTATTTAATTATTTATTACTACTATTATCATTAATATTTTTTTTTTCCTGGCAATTGCTTTGTTTTCAACTGTGACAGTATGATTGTTTTACTACGATGCCTCTGAAGACGACTGTTAATGTATGTTTTTTGTTGTTGTTTTTGTTGTTGCAAATAAAGGAAAAAAATAAACTAAAAGTCCTTCGGTGACAGAAATGGAGCAGAGTAAACCTTGGGAGAAACAAGGCTAGGGGGACAAGTCTCGTTTGGCCAGACAAAACCAGTATGGTGTGGTTTAATTCCAGGCTGCAACTCAAGTCAGATTGAGCAGAGGACTTGTCTGATATTACCCGTCTGATATTACATGTCATTAATAACACACTACAACATTCTCCATTGCTATTATTTTACTCATCTCATTTATTGAAACGTTTTCATTATCATTATCAGCTGAAACAGGAAAACAGTATGAAGTCACAGATTTCAGCATGAAGTCATTGACTGACCCAAACCCATAAACAAAAAGACCACCAACAGGGAATCAAAGACAGAAAGTAAATATTCAGACTGATGATCTAGTTGGAAGAAATAGTCTTGTCGATCCAAGAGTGCAGCTGGGAGATGCTGGCGTAGACTGCAGGGAAACGGGGGTCACAAGTGCTTCTTTCCCAAGACACAGAGCCCACCAGAGTCCAGACCCCTGAACTCTCACACACCAGAGGACCACCAGAATCACCCTGCGGAAAACACACATTTGAGACTGAACAACAGCAACATTGATATGGTAATGTGTTTCTTCTTGATTTGTCTTCATATACCTGGCAAGTTGAGGAACCGGAGGCTCCAGCACAGATCATGGCATCAGTAATTCTGCTCTGACCCCAGATCTGCCTGCACACAGCAGGACTAATGATGGGTACAACTGTTTGCTGCAGGATCTCAGGGCTCGCTAAAAAAGAGAAGAAATCATGACACATTGCATTGCACAGTAAACAGATGTGTTTTTATTCTCTTTTTGTTTCACAGCTGACTGACTTGTGGTGGCAGTCTGGCCCCAGCCAGTGGTGAAGCAGCGGGTCCCAGGCAGGATGTTGGTGTTTGATGTAGCCAGACATACAGGAGAGATACGGGGTGTAAATGTGACTGGAGCCGACAGTTTCAGCAGAGCAATGTCATTGTTGAAGGTTGCCCTGTTGTAGAGTGGATGGGTGATGACCTGCATATACATACAAGACGGATGATCAGTTAGTAGTGAGAGCTGACTTTTTAGAAGGTAAATAAAAATGTAAGCATTTACTTACACCCGGTGTTTTTAGAATGTGGTTTGGATGTTTTCTTTACTGTACTAAATTTTATATTTGTAAAAAATTTGTTTATTTTGTTGTTAAATATTAGTTTATTTTGGCAGGTGTTAGGGATACAATAGCATACATTTTATTCCTCAAAACTTCAATTAGAAAAATACAAGTTGACTGATATTTTTACCAATTTGCACACTTTTCAGCTGTTATATTGAGTTCACTGATTAAAAAAACACAAAATAAACACAACACTGTTTAACCTTTTAAATGATGTCCGTTCAATCACAAATGAGAAATATGTGAGTTCAATTAAACAATAACAATAATAAAATCTAAAACAAAGATTAAAATCATTTTGCAACCTTTTAGATCACACCTTTTCTTAAATTACAGGACATAGTCCTACTACTAAAATATTTATAATGAATATGTTTTTGTAGTGTAATGATGACTTGGTTATTATTATGTTTAAAAAACACAGTAATAAAACATCAATTGAAAATTAGTTCTGGCTGTAATTAATATTGGCCAGAACAAAATCAATATCAATTGGTCTCTTTTTTTTCAATTTCAATATCTCTGATCCACTGAGATCATAAAGCATTGTTACCTTGGAAACTAGTTGGAACTGGATGGGTTCATCATTGGAGCCACGATTATGTTCTCCAAGAATGACACGGTGAGAGCCCACCCTTAAGAGAGATAAAAATAAAATGAATAGATAAAAGACAGAAATAAACCAGACAGAGTATTTATGAACCACTAATGTATGTGATGTTTGTCAGATTGAAGAATCTTACATGACAGCGCATTGGGCAGCAGTGAGCACCCAGTTCTCGTTTATCAGGGATCCTCCGCAGAAGTGGAAACCATTGGGGTGCTGTTTAAAAGGTAAAAGCATTGAAAACATGAAATTTACTCTTTAAACAAAGCAGACAAATGTGTGTTTGAAAAACAGATGAGTTACCTGTTATTTCATTCAGGCACACTTCCAAGAAAATTAGAGGAAAACAAATATTTTTGAAGCTCTTAATCAACTGAACCAATGTTTCACAAAAGGATTTACTGTTTCGAAGCGCCTGAAACACCACATTCTGGCAGCACCTGCTGCTCAAAATATTGTAAATGCAACGAAATATAAAGGAAATATAAAGGTTTTTTATATTTCCTTTATATTTCATTGCATATTATACTTTTTACTTATCATCAGAATATTATTTTTACGTATCAGTGTTCTTTTTGTATTATGCACGCATAAGTATTAGAATGCACGAAGAAAAATGAAGCTACACTATCCACCTAATTTTTCCCCGTAAGAGCGGTCGCTGCCATTTGTTAATTGAATGTGTCTGGCTTCTGGTGTCATCCTTCCAGTGGTGCCATGCTTCCAGTTATTTTTAGAAGTAAAAAACAGCTTGTTTTGCTTGATATTGCAAATTGGTGTGTCTTACCATGTTATTTAAATGTATTATCTTAATTATGAACACACTGGCTTGTAGTGCAAACAGTTTTACCATTTACTGCACTTTATTATTCTTCTCGTTATTTCCCTATGGTGGCTAATGAACCGGAAGTCTCACACTTTCACAGAAAACATCTCGGTTACATATGTAACCTTGATTCCCTGAATAGGGAACGAGATGCTGCGATTACATCATTGCTATGGGAAACACCTTTGGTGTGACGAATGTCTGAAGTCCTTATACCTTCATGCCAATTCATTGGCCAAGAGCACTTAGCACTGCCCTAAGAATACGTCACATATGCTCATAGCAGCATGCTACGTGCAAATTCATCAGATTTCCACATTACAAAGGAAGTGCTATCGAAGGTACAGGAACGGCCAGCATCACGGCATATCGTTCCCTATTCAGGGAACCAAGGTTACATACGTAACCGAGACGTTCCCTTTCATAGGTTCACTCAATGCTGCGATAACATCATTACTATGGGAACAATATACCATAACACCTTCATGTACATGAACATAGCTGGAAGACCAAGGAAAGCATCTGCTCAAGCGGACAAAACCTGGGAGCCAGGAGCCGTCCTTACATCCAGACTGTAGAACTTGATGAAAGTGCTAGGAGAGGACCATCCTGCTGCAGCACAAATATTTTCCAACGAAGACCCCTTAAAGAGAGCCTGAGAAGAAGCCATTGCTCTTGTTGAATGAGCACACACCCCTAGAGGCGAAGTCAAACCACGCGCCTCATAGGCCATAGAGATAGCCTCCACTATCCAATGAGACATTCTCTGTTTGGTTGTGCTTTTTGAGCCCTCTAAATCTGGCCTTCCAGTGGGATTGATAGCCTCACCGTCATTGGTGTAGGTAAGTTGGGGCATTTCCGATGCCAGTGAATGTGTGTATCACTGGTGTAAAATTCAATTAGTCAATTTAAGTGGCATTAACGTGGCTAGTTTCCCTTCAAGGGTTCTTGACGATTAAGATTATTTTTTCATTAAGCTGGTCAGTACCGAAATGTCTACTGCTTGCCAAGGACAGTGGGCGAGGTGGTAAAAGGTGCCATGTCACCCTCTGGTGTAATATCCAGTGCCGTGTCAGTTTTCTTCAGGCCTTGGGATAATTTCTAAGGTTTGTCCATCGTCGGGGCGACGATGCCTGACGTTGGGGTGGAATGTAGCAGAGTGAGGTATAGACCCAGTATGATTGGCTGGCGTTATCCAAACAGGTGAACCTATCAGTGTTTGTAATTTATCATGATTGGTCAGTTGGGTAAGTTTCATGAGCCAATTAGTGCCTGTGTTGTGCATATAAAAGGGGGAAGTGTTTGGTTGCTTGGGATGCATCACTCTTGGTACCGCCCTTCTGTGACATGTGGCGCTTTGAATGAGTGCTAGCAGTTGGGTTATGCTCCTGTCTGTTGTGTGCTGGCTGTTGACCAGTTTTCAAATATGGGCCTCCAAGTAGCTGTAATCCTGCATGGTGAGCGACCATGTGTATTGCAGCATTGTACTGTTTTCTTGGATTGATCGCAAGTCCAGGCGTTTCCAATGATCTTAATTGAAGCCTAACAAACCTCAAGTAACTGACTGCCCTTCTGCTCTGCTCTACTCTGTTTTGTTCTGTTATAGTTCTGTCTGGAATTCATCTGGGTCCTATTATATTTTGTATCGTTTGGTGCGTGGATTTAGGTGGGAGGAGTTGGCCATGGTACCTTGTACTGCGTGTCCACATGGAGTGCTGTGTTTAATATTTTAGATTTTTCACGAGTGTGTGTCATGAGTATTGAGTGTGGGGTAGAAATCTGAGGGTCTTTGCTGGCCACCTCCCTCTTATTTTGTTATGCTATTGTATTGTACTTGTTTTGTAAGTTACTGGTAAAGACGTGTGATGTATTGAGACCTTGTGAAGTGTTGTATGTGTTTTTATTAATTGTATGTTAATAAAGTGATTTTTGTTTATATCTGTCTATCCTTATGCTCACCCTGCCTTTGGCAACGAAACTGTGTCCCTTTGCTTAGGGCTGTTATGTCCCGGTGTATTCTGGGTGGCGTAGTCGACTATAGGATTTCTCTTATTATTGGTAATTTTCAAGCTCCTGACCACTTACTGCCACACTAACAATCTTATAAAGTGGGTAATGCTGCTCTATATATAACCACAAGCCTCTGTCATGTATTTGCTCCAGTGATTGAGCTCTTGAGTTTTCCAAAGCATTATTCAAATTGTTAATAAATTCAGCAGCTTTTCAATTTACATTTTCAAAGACTTAAGTGTAAAATGGAAGACGGTACATATTTTCATTGTATTATTGACTGTTCTTAATCTCTCTGGACCTTGACCCACTGGTGTGTATTTTAGGGTTTCTTTCATATAACACCTGGAGCTCTTCTTGGATTCAGCTGCTCAATGTTATTTACTGCCAGATGCTGCATATTGCAGCAGTGGGTTTCTGAAAAACCACCAACAAAGACACCATGGACTAAGAGTGTATTGGACATTATTCCATTAGAAGCCCTTAAAAACAATTTCAGTTTCACAAAACTTGGCACCCTTTTCTCTCCCACTTGGGTTACAGTTTGAGTTGGATGTTGAAGAACGGACTGCATGGCATTACATGGACCGAATTGAGTTTAACCTATTTCTGGGTGCCTCCACCTGTTGTATTTTTATTTTTTGTTATTTAATTATTTATTACTATTATCATTATTTTTTGTTTTTTCCTGGCAATTGCTTTGCTTTCGACTGTGACAGTATGATTGTTTTACTACAATGCCTGTGAAGACGACTGTTAATGTATGTTTTTTGTTGTTGCTCTTCTTGCAAATAAAGAAAAAAAAAAAAACTTTGTCGGTGACAGAAATGGGGCAAAGAAAACCTTGGGAGAAACAAGGATAGGGGGACGAGTCTCGTGTGGCCAGACGAAACCAGCATGGTCTGGTTTCATTCCAGGCTGCAACACAAGTCAGATTGAGCAGAGGACTTGTCTGATATTACCCGTCTGATATTACATGTCATTAATTACACTCTACAACATTCTCCATTGCTTTTTTTTCCATTTTATTTTTACTCCTCTCATTTATTGAAACGTTTACATTATCTGTACAGCTGAAACAGGAAAACAGTATGAAGTCATTGAGTGACACAAACCCATAAACAAAAAGACCACCAACAGGGAATCAAAGACAGAAAGTAAATATTCAAACTGGTGATCTAGTTGGAAGAAATAGTCATGTTGATCCAAGAGTGCAGCTGGGAGATGCTGGCGTAGACTGCAGGGAAACGGGGGTCACAAGTGCTTCTTTCCCAAGACACAGAGCCCACCAGAGTCCAGACCCCTGAACTCTCACACACCAGAGGACCACCAGAATCACCCTGCGGAAAACACACATTTGAGATTGAACAGCAGCAACATTAATAAGGTAATGTGTTTCTTCTTGATTTGTCTTCATATACCTTGCAAGATGAGGAACCGGAGGCTCCAGCACAGATCATGGCATCAGTAATTCTGCTCTGACTCCAGATCTGCCTGCACACAGCAGGACTAATGATGGGTACAACTGTTTGCTGCAGAATCAGAGGGCTCGCTAAAAAAGAGAAGAAATCATGACACATTGCATTGCACAGTAAACAGATGTGTTGTTATTCTCTTGATGTTTTACAGCTGACTGACTTGTGGAGGCAGTCTGGCCCCAGCCAGTGGTGAAGCAGCGGGTTCCAGGCAGGATGCTGGTGTTTGATGCAGCCAGACATACAGGAGAGATACGGGGAGTAAATGTGACTGGAGCCGACAGTTTCAGCAGAGCAATGTCATTGTTGAAGTTTGCCCTGTTGTAGAGTGGATGGGTGATGACCTGCATATACATACAAGACGGATGATCAGTTAGTAGTGAGAGCTGAGCTTTTTAGAAGGTAAATAAAGATGTAAGCATTTACTTACACCCTGTATTTTTAGAATGTGGTTTGGATGTTTTCTTTCCTGTACTGAATTTCATATTTGTAAAAAATGTGTTTATTTTGTTGTTAAATATTAGTTTATTTTGGCATGTTTTAGGAATACAATAGCATACATTTATACCTCAAAACTTCAATTAGAATAAGACATGTTGACTGATATTTTTACCATTTGCACACTTTTCAGCTGTAATATTACTGTAATATTAACTGTTTAACCTTTTATATGATGTCCGTTCAATCAATCACAAATGAGAAATATGTGAGTTCCAATTAAACAATAACAATAATAAAATCTAAAACAAAGATTAAAATCATTTTGCAACCTTTTAGATCACACCTTTTCTTAAATTACAGGACATACTCCTACTACTAAAATATTTATAATGAATATGTTTTTGTAGTGTAATGATGACTTGGTTATTATTATGTTTAAAAAACACAAGAATAAAACATCAATTAAAAATTATTTCTGGCTGTATTCCGTATGTAATTAATATTGGCCAGAACAAAATCAATATCAATTGGTCTCTTTTTTTCAAATTCAATATCTCTGATCCACTGAGATCATAAAACATTGTTACCTTGGAAACTAGTTGGAACTGGATGGGTTCATCATTGGAGCCACGATTATGTTCTCCAAGAATAACACGGTGAGAACCCACCCTAAAGAGAGATAAAAATAAAATGAATAGATAAAAGACAGAAACAAAACAGACAGAGTATTTAAGAACCACTATTGTATGTGATGTTTGTCAGATTGAAGAATCTTACATGACAGCACATTGGGCAGCAGTGAGCACCCAGTTCTCGTTTATCAGGGATCCTCCACAGAAGTGGAAACCATTGGGGTGCTGTTTAAAAGGTAAAAGCATTGAAAACATGAAATTTCATCTTTAAACAAAGCAGATAAATGTGTGTTTGAAAAACAGATGAGTTACCTGAAGAGAGACCTGCCAGGGCCAAGAACCAGAGATGGCATTCTGTCCGTTCACAATCCTGCTGCCGATCGTCTGTGGTTTAATCGCAGGCACTCCACAACCTGTTATTACAAAATGTAACACATTATTCATGAGGCAGGGGGCTCTCAGTTTAGGTTTTGCATTTTCTCTATTTGTCCATCATTATTCTTGCGAAATAGGAGACACTTACCCAGAGCAGAGGCCACCAGGGCAAGGCAGGTGATGGAGAAGATGGTGAAGGTCATGATGTAGATGAGTTTGTGATGTATCTCACTGATGTATCTGTAGGTGCTCTCTCTTGCTTTTATATCATTTACAGCAGCTGATCAATCTGAGACGTGAGGGAGGTCCATCCCATCAGATCCAGTGAGCTCATAGCTGAGGAATTTTTTTATCTTTCATTGTCCAGAGCTGATATTTTACGTGCAAACAGGATGAATTTTCCTTTGTTTGACCTCATGAAGGGCTTTATGTCTTCTGACTATTTCCTTGAGAAGCATCATGATTTCAACTCTCTCATTGTATGTTATTATGTCATTGATTGTTTTGGATTAGAAGTAACGTTTGTTGTTGCTGTGTTGAAATTTCAGTCAATTTATCATGCTATACTTGCAGTAAAAGAACTGCTTTCCCAATAAATCTTTGACATTAACTAATCACGGATTCAACCTTGGCAAGCCGTTGCAAGACAGTGATACTAAAGAGGATGGGACTAAAGTTGTGTCACACTAGGATTATATCAGGTATGAGAGCTGGGCTAAAGTAAAACTTAGTACTAATATCAGTTTCTTTAACACCACTTTAGATAAAAGTAAGGACAATAAACTGGTCAAACAAGTTCTTTAAAGCAAGAGTGTTACGAACTGGTGTGCTTTTCTGCAACATCACTTACATTTTTTACATTATTTTCTAGAAAACATAATACGGTAAACTGCTATTCTTTACTGATGCAAATAAAAGTAATGCTTGTTACATACTGCCGACACATTTTATATATTAGATTGGTTTAATCTTTTTTTTTTGTATTAATTTTTGTTTCTTTTTAATCAGCACTCTGTCCATTGGTTATACGTGTTATATTTGTGTGTGGAAGATAAGGCTAGTTTGCCTTTACTATACAAAACCCTAATCATTTAAAAAATGTCCGATTTTTAAAAATCATTTTAATTCATAAAATGCTATAGCCAGCTTTATTTTGTTTGAATCATGTTTACATGGTATGTCTACAATATAAATTAATGGGTTCAGTTTTTCACAATTCAGATAGGGCTTTTGTCCCTCAAACCTCCTCATACAAGAAGACAATACAATCTTAAGTACTTTACATAACCTCTGAGAAACCTGTGAAAACTCCTCTTTCATTGTTTCATTCAGGCACACTTCCAAGCAAATTAGAGGAAAACAAATATTTTTGAAGCTCTTAATCAACTGAACCAATGTTTCACAAAAGGATTTACTGTTTCGAAGCGCCTGAAACACCACATTCTGGCAGCACCTGCTGCTCAAAATATTGTAAATGCAACGAAATATAAAGGAAATATAAAGGTTTTTTATATTTCCTTTATATTTCATTGCATAATATCATTTTTACTTATCATCAGAATATTATTTTTACATATCATTGTTCTTTCTGTATTTTGCACGCATAAGTATTAAAATGCACAAATAAAAATTAAGCTATCCACCTAATTTTTCCCCGTAAGAATGGTCGCTGCCATTTGTTAATTTAATGTGTCTGGCTTCTGGTGTCATCTTTCCAGTGGTGCCATGCTTCCAGTTATTTTTAGATGTAAAAAACAGCTTGTTTTGCTTGCTATTGCAAATTGGTGTGTCTTACCATATTATTTAAATGTATTATCTTAATTATGAACACACTGGCTTGTAGTGCAAATAGTTTTACCATTTACTGCACTTTATTATTCTTCTCATTATTTCCCTATGGCGGCTAATGAAGATCCCTGAATAGGGAATGAGATGCTGCGATGCCATCATTGCTATGGGAAACACCTTTGGTGTGACGAATGTCTGAAGGCCTTATACCTTCATGCCAATTCATTGGTCAATAGCACTTAGCACCGACCCAAGAATACGTCACATATGCTCATAGCAGCATGCTACGTGCAAATTCATCAGATTTCCACATTACAAAGGAAGTGCTATCGAAGGTACAGGAACGGCCAGCATCACGGCATATCGTTCCCTATTCAGGGAACCAAGGTTACATACGTAACCGAGATGTAGGTTCAACCTTTCATAGGTTCACTCAATGCTGCAATGACATCATTACTATGGGAACAATATACCATAACACCTTCATGTACCTGAAGATAGCTGGAAGGATGGCAGTCCCTTTGTTTTTACCACTAAAACATACAAACAACTGGCCAGATCCACACCACTGGGCTGTGCGGTCGACATAGAACTTCAACACCCTCTCCGGGCAGATGCACCCCTGCAAGAAATGGGAAACCATAGAGGGTGACGTCCAACAGAAACACCTCCCATGGGTACATGCTCAGCAGATATATATGGCTGCCACATAAACCTTAAGAGTGGCAGGGGCCACCCCCTTAGAAAATTTACTCTGAAGAAACTCCAATATCAAGCCTACAGGGCAATGGACTGGGTCAAGATTGCGTTGCCTACACCAGGAGGCAAAAAGCTTCCACTTAAGGGCATACAAGCGTCTTGTGGAGGGAGCCATAGCATTAAGAATAGTGTTGGTAATCTCCGCCGAGAGACCAGAACACATTAATACACTCCACTCAGGGGCCACACCCATAACTTCCGGAAATCCGGGTGAGGATGTTAAATCATGCCCCGAGCCTGAGTCAGCAGGTCGTGTCTGAGGAGAACCTCCCAAGTGGGGCCGGCTAGCAGACTGACCAATTCCAAAAACTACATCTGAGTGGGCCAGAACTGGATGTGAAGGTACGCATCCTTTAGATCGATAATTACAAACCAATCTCTGGTTCGGATATGAGACGATATGGATTTTAACCTCAGCATCTTGAACTTGCTCACTCTGAGTGCAAGATTTAGGCGACGCAAGTCCAAAATCAGACGTAAACCGCCATCCTTTTTGAGTGAGGGGTACTTCTTCTGTAGCCCCTTTCTCTAGGAGTGACACAATCTCCTGACTCATCGCTGAGGCCTTGCAGGGACGCACCATCGTGAAAATAACATCGCTGAAAGGAGGTGGCCCTTTCCGGAATTGGATGGTGTAACCGTGTCGAATGGTATGTAGCACCCACTGCGAGATCTCGGGCAGGCATCGCCGCACGGCCCAATAGTCTGCCAGGGGCTTTAACCGTTCTATGCTTGGAAGCTGCTGAACTGCAGGTGCCGAGATATCCTCTGATTGCAGAGAGCCATTGGCGTCTGCAAAAACAGGAAGCACATGCGGAGAGACCGTACCTAATGAACTCATTGTTATCACCTGACCCTCCTGCATAGGGCCATGAAGCACGTGAGTAGCGGGAACCTCCGTAACAGGAAGTTGTCCAATCACCCAATAGGGCCAGCCCGCCACACCAAAATGGTGAGGAATCAAACAGTGGCAAGGAACCAAAATTCAAAACTCATTTGGACAGAAAGTATACAGTAATAAAGAGATTAACCCCCTGGGGTCGTGTGCGGTCTGTCTCGTATTTTCTTGATGACCGCGAAAATAACAAAAAATACTCCGTCAATTTTGACCGTACAGAAAAGAATAAGGTATCGTTTTAAACTGCAAAGGGTCTACTTTTATTTGTGTATAGTCATAATAACAACAAAACAATGTGCTTTTGTAAAATCAAGAAACTATACAGGGTGTATAAATGAAGTAACTCTTACCGAAAACAAATATTCTGTGATAAAGTAATCCGTATGAAACCAACGTCAGGTCCAGTTTTTCCTATCTGTTCTCATTATCTCTAATTAGATCACGCCCACGTGCTTCTCGCCGCTATTGATATTACAAATCTCCACATGAGACGCACGACATGTAAACCGTAAACATCACCGTAAACAAAGCAGCAACATGCTCATCTCGGATACTTTTCGTTTTTGGAAGAAGACGCTGAGAGGAATAAGCCTTGTATTTACCTTAGAAGACACGCTGAGAGGAAAAAGCCTTGTATTAACCCCAGAGCGCTGAGAGGAAAAGCTTTATGTCTACCTTACAAACAGAACGCGAGCGCGGCTGGAGCCAGCAGAGGAGATCTTTCATGTCGAGTAAGTAATGTTTCTTATTTGCATTAGATAATGTGTTGTTGTGACAAACTTGAACACATTTACTAGTTGGACTTTTCCCAAACTATAATTTCAGACTAAAATGTGTGAAATCGATTGCAACATTTTGAAATATGATAGGCAAACTTTCATTACATCTAAATGTAAGGCGTGAGGATGGTTTTATGTTCAATACTATAAACAATATATAAAAGTAATTGTTTACACGATATAAAAGTAATGTCTAAGAATGTTTAGACCAATCATTACTGTGACCCTGTCTGCAAATATCTTCAAACGTGCTTACCAATAATAATATAGTTTATCAGATACAATGTCCTTTTTATACTGTATGTGCATCTATGATATAAAATCACGTGGGAAATATTAGTGATTGCTAATGTAATAATATAGTTTCTATCAACATGCTCACGTATTTAATTATTTATTTGCTTATTAATTTTAGTGTGGGGGGGACTTTCTATTAATCAGAGAAACCTGAAAATATACTAAGCTGTTTTCAACAACAACAACAATAATAATAATAATACATGTTTTTGAGCAGAAAATCTGAATATTAGAATTATTTCTGAAGGAACATGTGACACTGAAGACTGGCGTAATGATACTGAAATGTTTGAAACGGTTTTAATTTTTGTTTAGGACTGTGGCTGCATCACCGGCATCTTGCACAAGAAAGGCACATGAGTGTCGTTCAGTTTTGAGTTCGCTGGAAAATTATACTGAGTAAGTGCACAGAATAGATATTGTTCTTTTATTATGCCTAGACAATATGGTAATATTATTAGTGGTTGATAGTGTTAAAATGTAGTTTCTTTGTTATTGGCATCAGGGGCGCCGCTAGCAATTTTGGGCCCTATGAAAGAATATGTCTTATACACAGAGGCATTGTCGTGTCAGAATAGAAAAGGGTCTGTGGCGAGGGGAGCGTGGTTTAGCGGGGTTTGCAGCGGGAGAAAGTGGTCGGAGACGAGCGGTGAGTAAGTAGGTCAAGTGCAGAACGACATTCACCTGTTAAGAAAAGCCTCTGGGAAAC